CTAGCAAAAGTCGACATAACATCTGCTTTTAAAGTCATGCCCATTCACCCAGATTTCTGGCATCTGTTTGGCATCCGTTGGAAAGAGGAAATTCTACTTCGCAGTCCGTCTTACTTTTGGCTGTAAAAGCAGTCCAAAAATTTTTGATATGCTTTCTGAAGCGCTCTGCTGGATTTTACAAAACAATTATGCCATCCCATACCTCATCCATCTCCTCGACGATTTCCTCGTCATTTCTCCAAGTCATTCCCCTGCAGCCAAACACCTAATCGTCATCCAATCAGTGTTTTCAAAACTAGGAGTTCCCCTCTCTCCCGAAATCCCCCATAGTAGTAGCAGCCTATCTATGGGGCTCCGAATGGTCAACGAAAAACATCCTTTTTCACTGTGATAATTCTGCCACCGTCCACTGCATCAACAAAGGCCGTTCTAGCGCTCCAAAAATCATGCCCTTTCTTAGACGTCTAATTTGGATCTCTGCCTGTCACCAATTTGTCATTAAAGCTGAACACATTCCTGGTCATCAAAATGAAATCGCTGACGCTTTATCTCGTTTTCTTTTTCAGAAATTCAGAACATTGGCTCCGGAAAGCAGACTCCAACCCAACTCCAGTTCCTTCATTCGTTCCGCATTGGGGCAGCCACCACAGCAGCACAGAGGGGACTTTCCGACCCCCAAATTAAAATGCTGGGTCGATGGACGTCTCATACCTACGAAACATACATTCGATCTGATCTTCATCATATTAGACAAGCGCACCAAACACTAGCATCTTCCTGCCCCATCCATGACATCTAGGGGCCCCTTGGTATTTTTAGTTCATAGGGCTCCATGGCACGGATGTGCAGCGGGGTGTACTCCAGCTACGCACTCAAACCTCCAGTCCTGAGATACTCCCGCAGGAGTAATTTCGGAAACTCACTGCCGCAGCTGTGCAGCGGTAAGATGCTCCCTAATTAAAGTTCCAAAGCGCGGCTCTCTCACCACCATCATTAGTAAAGCTTAAATTTCACTCCTTGTGGGGGGTATCACCATTATTCTTCAAGTATTTGGGTATCCCGTATACTTAAACCCTCAGACATGTTGATCTCGCTAAGCTCGACTTGCTGTCCCAAATTTATTTCTGCACTTTTGGGAGGTATATCAGAGCTTGAGTTGAAGCTGCTTCATCGAGCCCCTCATCAGTGGACAGCAAGCCAAATAAGTTTACACACAATTTCCTTAAGATTATATGGGCAAACGAACTCGTTAAACACATTTAGCAGATATTTCCGTATTGCTCAAGTGGCAAGCTCTGTTTTGGGGATTACGTCTCTTTATATCAGGCAACCCCTGTTGTGTTCCTCTGCGGCCAGATCAAACCTCGTTGTAGCCTATATATTATGCTCTATTCATTATTATTTAGAAACCTTGCACTTTTCTACTCCGTTTTAAACGGTGTTCTTGTATTCAAATTTAGCGCGGTCCACTGCAGTGCACGTGCCGCGATATCGATATGGGGCCAGCTGTATCGATACTTGTATTGTCAGATCTCTGTGATGATACATCGTCGTATCGATGTATCGGACACAGCACTAGTTGCAAATGGCAAAAGTAGCTTAAGCTGCTTGTTTTTCTTGTAAATACTAAATATTAAAAGTAACCATTCATAGTTTGATTTAATGCATACTTATTAAAAACATCCAGTGCCAACAATTA